GCAATCTTGGCAAGGCACCGCAGCTGCCAGCACGTCACCCGGTGCAGGTGCAGCGGGCACGGGCTGAACGCGAGCAGGGACGGCAGTACGGCACCAGCACAGGCAAAGGAGAGATCATACTGTTCCGCTTGCACTCTTGCAGGTGCCAACGCTGCCAGAGCGGCAGTCGGCCGCAGAGGTATCGTCTCTGGCACAGGCTGCACACTGTCATGTTCTGCTCGTTGGGGGTGGTTTGTGATGCCCATGCGCAGATTCCGCCCATTCCGGAGCGTCAGACGCCGCCGCAGGCCAGGATCCCAAGGGTGAATGTGCCCGACTGCCCGCCACTACCTGCCACATGATATGCTTGCCGCGTACGCTCGTTGTACTGAAGTAGGGTTGTACACCATGCAGGCCGAAGCTCGAAGGTTCCATGTGCCAAAATTCGGTAGCAGAAGGAAGTATGCAACAAGAGCTGTTGCCTAGGGGCCTAGGTGATCTTTCAACAGTGGCCCAATTTCCCAATGGCTGGCCATGATGACACTGCCACTGAAGCTTGCAAGTCTTATCCCTCGAGTGCGGGGATGCCCAGTCGAGATTTGATCCAGAACCGATGGCTCAACCCAACCAAAACAGATTACTCAACCAAGAAACCCGTATTGCTTAACTGAGAAGCACACATCCATACCAAGATCAACATTGCCAACCCAGCCTCCCTCCTGACTCCTAACGTGTACGGCACGGCACGCTCTTGCGGGAGCTGAGCCCTTTGTGCCAGCTCTGTGGCTGTTTTTGTTCCGACAAAAGCCCTGCCTCGGCCATCGCCATTTAGTGGCCGTGATGCCCCAATGGGATCAGCTCTGCCCGAAACGCTCCGATACACATGTGCCTTGAATGACAAGGTCAAGCTTGCCCCGATCTGAAACAAAAAGCAGAAGCATTGAAGGTCCAGGCTTCGGGTGTGCGGGTTTCGCACTGCTTGAGTGCGCAGGGTTGTCAGAAAAGTGATTTTGGGGCCTCCACGCGGACAAACTTAACTTAACTCGCGGTTCAGCGTAGAACCTGAAGCTGCTCTTTGGTTCAGCGTTGAAGTCGGATGTTGGATTGCGTTGCGATTCGGGTTTAGCTTGGTTTGCGAGCGGCAGCGGGTCAGGCTGGCTTTTTTTCGGGCTATGTTCGAGCGTCGGCTGGGGCAGGGGTAAGGTCTGCTGGGTCGGTTGGTGGGTGACAACCGGACTCTTGAATGTGGCAGAGAGACCCCACCGTAGCCTTGCCCGAACCGTACCACCAACCACAACCTGACCCCCATCGCCAGTCTAACTCTGACGTAAGCTAACCCCGACCCTGACCTGACTTAGCGTGATCAACCTCAAGAAAACCATGAAAACCCTACCAAGCCTAACACCGGCTAACAAAAAACCAACCTCACCCGCCTCCCATCTGACCTATTCCAAGCCTGACCCAACGTAGCCTAAGCCATATGGACAGTTTGGCAGCCCAGATCCTGAAATGACGTTAGCTTGTGTTGGGCTCGGTTAGGTCAGTTTTTTTTTGTCAGGGTCTGGTCGTGTTACGCTATGTTGGGTTAGGTATGGTTAGGTTAGGTTGGAACAGGGTCGGAGTTGGGTCGGGCGGAGTGGGTGTCAGGGTCGGTTGGGTTCGGTTGGGTTGCGATTGGAACTAGGTCAGTGTGGGGTACGTTGGGTTGGGTTGTGTTAGGTCAGGGTCTGGTGGTCTTACGCTCAGGTTTGGGTCGGAGCTGGTTCGGGCGGAGTGGGATGTTTGGGCCAGGTCAGGTTGGGGTGCGTTGGGTCCGTTGGGTTAGGCCGGGTTTGGGTCTAGGTTGTGGAGCTTCGGTCAGGATCAGGTTCGCGGTGTGCGGGGGCTGTGGTGGGGTGTCTTGGGTGGGGAGGGATTGGTTTGGGCGATCGAGGCTGCGGTGGGGTCCCCTGCAACCGGACCTCTTGGTGGAGTAATCGGTGCTTTTGGTAGGGGAATCCCGTATTGGGAAACCTGCTTTTTGGTTGTGCAATATTTTTTTATGCCAGATTTGATCCTTTTTATGCGGGTCCGACAAAGTTTGCGACGAGTGCAAAGCTCCTCCGATTTTAACGGCCACACCCGTTGCACTTCGCTCTCCAGGTCCTTTCAAGATTGTACGCCGCTCCTCGTCAGTGCAAGAGTCTATTACCTGCAATAGGAGCACGCACCTGCCTCTGGCTTCTCCATCGCCTTAGTAAGCAGTTTGCGCAGGTTGCCGGCGACATACATTCGGACACGCGTCGTTCATGCTGCTTGCAACCAAAGACATGGAGTGCATCCGGGTGGATTCCTTTACATTGCACCATTCGGATTGTGAACACTTTGGAGGCCGACCCTTGACTGTCACAGGTGCCGCAGGTTTCGGAGAGACAGCCAGTGGTCGCGTGGCATGCAGAGGCACTCCGTCAGCATGTTCTCGATACAGCTGCGACTTACCGGTCTGAGCTGGAGCTCGCAAGGCATCTTCGCGAGGCTCCGTGTCTCCAGTGCCTTGGCGGATCTCCCCTTGGGTGGTGTGGTTTGGTCATCAGAACCTCTTTGCCCGGCGATTCTCTTGGACAGGGCGTGTGAGTTCAGCGAGCAAAGCCGCTTAAGGCTGCACAGATCCAGACGCTTCCGATGCAACAGGCAACGGTCTTAAAGTCCTCAATGCTGTTTGCCCTTCGTTGTCAGGGACACGCATGACCCAACGAAGGTGAGGGACCCATCAGAACTGGCTGTCCAAGCTGGGGCCTCACGGGCATCGTTGCATCACCTTAAGAGCAGACCGACGGAATATGTTGAACCAGGTGGCCACATCGGCTAGCTTGAGGACGTTCGCGAGAGGGATATGACGGTACGATTGGGGTATGTCACTTCGTGTGATGCTTCCGGCGAGACGACGTCTTTGCGGCTCTCTCACCTTGCTAGAATTGGGCAACTTCTGACATGCGAGGAGCAGCCAATTTGCGGAGGGCTACCCAGAAGGCCAGTTGCATCTTGCTGTCGCAGAGTGCTGGCGAATGGCTCTTGATCGCCAGTTCAAGCATCTTCGATTCCTGTGGAGTCGATACCTTCTGCCGAGACCTTAGCTGAATTGTGTGTTGAGAATGGGTTGTTGAGGCGTCGTGATGCCGCAAATAGCCTAGCCCATGCTGTGCTACTGCTCTTAGCCTGAACGGGGGGGTGTCTGGTTCAGGGGTCGGATTCGGGTTGCCGTGACTGCTGCACCCTGTCAGAACACATGGGTTTTTGGCACTTGTCCGGTTGGTATGTTCTGCAATAAGGGGGATGCCTCAGGCTTAGTCGAAATGAGCCGTCCAGGGCAACATTCACCTCACCCGACTCTCTTTTCGGAAAAGTTGCGTTGAAGCCCAAAGTCCAGCCCTGGAACAAGAAGGTACGACCTGCAGCACAGAGGAGAAGGAACAAGAAAAAACAACGAACGCGCATCGATGAGGTGCTTCGGGATCGAGCCGCCAGCTTCGCGGCAGCATCAGAAATTCTTAGAATCGTGCATCTCCAGACTCAAGTTCCTTGCATTGCTGTCTTGGAATCTGGCTCTGAGGCAAGCCCTCATCCCTGCTGACCCGTACCATTCCGCGTTAAACCTTCAATCCTCAGAGACATACAGTGCAAGGGAAGCATGAAAAAGCCTCATCCCTTTTCGAGTGCAAGTAGAAGAATAGCATCGAAAAGTCTTGTAAAGGCATCGAAACCCTGACCTAACTCTGCATTTCGTGCAAAATCCTTACGAAACGCCATGAAGTCAGTTCTTGTACATCAGCGTTGCAGTGCTTCTGAGTGAAAGCATGTCCAAAATCCTTTTTCGCCACTAAAAAATAATTCAAAAGGTCTTTCGAGCCCTTGCTAAGCCCCGTAGTTGTCCCTACTTGGGGGAGCTGATGGTAACCTTCTTGGATCTTTCAGAATCAGGAATTTCAGAGTTTTCCGGGAATGCTGAACTGGCATGCTTTCTCTCTGATCACCGCATGACCACTCCCTGAGCTTCGTGAGGTGCCTCCATCTCGCGGGAGAGGCGCCGCGTGAGAAATCCGGTCGCATGACCTTGCTCCCCCACTGGCTCCTATCAGCGCAACATTACAAGCGTAATCAGCCTAACTCATCCTAAGTTGCGAAGGGTTCGCTGCTTCAGAGGGCAACAAGCTGCACATTCGAAATCCTGATTTCGCATGCGCTATTCCCAGACGTGACCCTCATCACTTTGTAATCACGATCATCATCATCATCAACATCATCATCATCATCGTCATCATCGTGATCATCGTCATCATCATCGTCATCATCATCATCATCATCATTCACCATTCACCATTCATCATCACCATCACCATCGCAATCATCCTCATCCTCATCCTCATCCTCATCCTCATCTTCATCCTGATCCTCACCCTCACCACCACCGCCACCACCGCCACCGCCACCGCCACCCCCACCACCGCCACCCCCACCCCCACCACCCCCACCCCCCCACCACCCCCACCACCACCACCGCCGCCGCCGCCGCCGCCGCCGCCGCCGCCGTCGTCGTCGTCGTCGTCGTCATCGTCATCGTCATCGTCATCGCATCAACAACAACATCATCATCATCATCATCATCGTCATCATCACCATCATCATCGGGGGGAGGGGGTGGGGGGGGGGGTGGTTGGGGGTTGGGTTTGGAACATGGCTTCTTTGCGGAAAAGGCGGCATCGGTTCACGGCTAAAGCATCTCTATTCTTCAGTTGGGATGTTGACGTAACGCAAAGAGCTTGCTTTTCTCAGAGCTCAAGTGTCTGGACTCTACCCGAACCAGGCCTATCGACTCCCATGGGCTGTTCGATCCCAGCAGATGTTTATGTTGACCATGAAGAAGATGATGAGGAATGTGATGATGCTGTTGATGCCGCTGCTGATGATGATGTTAAGGTGGTAGGCGCTCGGGGAAGTCATGGGCGCGGCTTGACTTGACAAGGGCAGAGTTCCACGCTTGAGAGGTCGACTTCGATTCGAAGACTCGATGTTCTGCCCCGAGCCTTTGGGCCTTGGAAACGACATTGGTGTCGCCCGTCGCAGTCTCTTTTTGGCGGAACTCGAGGCTTCGCTGCCGGAGCCGGGCTTTCAGATGGAGGCCGTGGAGTCGGTGGAGTTAAGAGGAGACTTAAGGACCAGTTTGAGCCCTCGTCTCCCTGTCGCTCTCCTCCCTCTCTCCTCCCTATCCACCCTGCTCCGGCATCTTCAGCACGAGACATTGGTCTCGGTAGATGATGGGGTAGATAATCCCATGAATGACCCGGGCGGACGGCGAGTTCGAGAAGCATCCGTCGTGAGTTGGGATGGGCCGCTTGGTGTCTTGTGTAGGTTCTTGAAAACTTGGGCTTCCTTCGACTCCTCTGCCCTTGGACGCTCTTTGAAGTTTCCTCGAGCAACCTGGGGGCCTCGGGCGCAGGCGGCGCAGGCGGCGCAGGCGGCGCGGCGCAGTGCCAGTCTGGTGGACGCTACGCGAGCAGGTCCGAAAGGGAACCAGGGGATACCAGGCGTGGAAGTATGGTACGTATCATCTGCGACCGGTAAACAGTATTCAACTCCGCCTACTAAGTCTTCAAGTCTTCCTCAGATCTCTGCGCTGACGGGCTTGGTGTTGCAGTCACATGCCGTTGCAGGTATCGGAACAATACCCGCGCCTGCTGCCAGCGTCCTGACATTGCCGCTGTCCAGGCCTTTGCAAGCTAAGCAGCCAGAACGCACACAGCCGAATGCAACTCCTCTCGCTGCAGTCGGCGGCACCCGGCGGCACAGGCAGTCCCACAAACAGTCCCGGCACAGGCAGCGCAAAGAGAGGGAAACTTATTTCCGAGCTTTGTGATGTCTGTCTGCCATTTTATTCCATGACGGCGTGAGGTGCTTGGTACTGTCGCGGCTCCGAGGCCTGCCAGCTCCAGCTTGAGGCGCCGAGCCGTCAGCGCAGCGGTTTTCGAATCCAGAAAGCTCGGCGCAGGCTTCCGGTCTACACTGGTGGGCCTGGTGTGCCTCCTATGGCCATGCCTATCAACGGTGGTTTCTCGGGAGGCACCCCTCAGACGACAATCTTGTGAGTGTGGACCGTGTCCCGCCAGCCAGGTCCTTTAGCTCAGATACAAACCATGCCAGTGACTTTTCCAGGCCCGGCCTCGTTTTTTGGGAAATCTCTCTCATGACAGCTTTTGACTCTGCAGCCAAGGCCGGCGGTTTACCTGACGTCCGGAAGTGTTCAACGCGCCCAAGTCTTGTCTTGCCGACACAATACGTGTCAGCGAGACAGTGCCTTAACCCATATTCCTTCGATGACATGCAGTCCTTGCTTTTAGGTGAGCTGGAAGCTGCGTTTGTTCAACTGGCAGAAGAATGTGCATGTCTCGGGCGGGGTGGGGCTCTCTGAAGTGGCGGAGCCTGCGCCGATTCACCTGAAAGCATCGTTCCGCGATGTCTTGGGCGGTGCAAGCCTTGAGACTAAATCTCCGAAGCCGGAACTTTGGAGTGCTTGCTAAGGCCCCAAAGGTGGCCATGTACCATACATGCACATAGCATACACACCCCCAAGATGCCAAAGAGGCAGCTAATGACTTCGGCTGCAAGCATCACCATCTACCAACAAATCACGACGGACAGGATCTGCCGGCTCAGTTGTATTGAATTGGCACTAAGGCAACTTTCACAAAGGCTAGCGGCTAGCGCCTGTTGGCATATGGCTGCTTGCAACCGTCCGAGCGTCGGCACTGTAGATGGATCAGTGTATCTCGCGACACGCAGCGGAGGATCGCCGGAAGTGTGGTCAAGCAGTTCTGCCTGGTGGGTTTGGCACTGGGTTTTTAGGGTGCAATTCACGGATTCACACAGATTCGCAGGATTACCAAGCGATTTTGTTGTCATCGCAGGGCTTTTCGCAGAGGCAGGGGTGGTGACGGTGAGGATGCTGAGGACGGATGATGATGCTGACGCTGATGATGATCATGATGTTGGTGTTGGTGATGGTGATGGTGATGCTGGTCGTGTTGAGGGCGAGGATCAGCATAACGATGCGGATGATAATTAGAACGGGGGCAGGGGTGAGGATGGGGATGACGGGGATCAGGCAGTGGATGAGGATGGAGGGTATGGTGAAGACAACAAAAGTTGTTGACTTTGCTGAAGATGATGCGTGTGAAGCTTCCTGGAAACGCCCTTCCGACACTTCCGTTTGGGCATTTTCTCGGTCCTTATCGGCTGATTGTGCCTCACCTTCTCTGAAACATCACATATCTTCTGAACACAGGGTACTGTCCACAACGACTTTCGAGGCATGCTGTGAGCATGTTACCAGTTGCTCCCTTACAGAATCTTCGCCGCCACTGCGCGACCTAAGCAGTCGACATGGACACACAACGGCTTTAGTCTTCTTAGGACTCATTTTTCATTAAAATACACTCCAAGGGATTATGAAACATGTCATTATTGTTTCGGTTCAACGCCGGCAAGATGAAGAACCCGTCACCCAAACCATGCCAATGCGAGGCAAGCTGACTACGTTTAACTACCTCTGCTTGTTCCTCGACCCACTGCTAAGCAATGAAGCTCGTGATCCAGAGGGTCACACGAGCTAGTGTCGTGATCGATGAGAAGACCCACTCGTCGATTGGCAAAGGTTTCTCAGTTGCCTCTAAACGAACCAACTGCCGTATCAAAGGCTGCCCGAGGTTTGAGGGCTGACATGACCCGAAAGTTTGCATGTCTGAGCCGATGCCTTGGACATGTCTGCTCAGGCTTGCTACTTCTGCTGGGGATTGAGCAAGGCGACGGGCTGGATCAGGTGAACCATTTGGCATCGAAGGTTTCGAGACTCCGGTTGTGGCCTGACCTCAAGGATTCGAAGAAGCAGTGGGCATCCTCTGTTGTGGACAATGGCTTTGAGCTGATGGTTGTGAGCCAGTTCACGCTGTTTGCAACTTTCAAAAAGCCAAAGCCGGACTTCCACCAAGCTATGGGCGGCAGTGAGGCGGAGGGTCTCTATGAGGCCTTTGTGGGCAAGTGCCGCAGCGAGCTGTCCCCTGGCAAAGTCTCCACGGGCAGCTTTGGTGCGATGATGAATGTGGAGCTCTGCAACGACGGGCCTGGCACCCAGCCTGGCGCAGTGCAGCATGTGATTCGCATCGCGCCCAGCACGCTCACACAGAAACACGCAGTGACAAAGCACTTGCTCGGTTCCTTGTCCGAAGTGTATGTGCGACCGCACACGCGTATGTGTAGGCGCAGCGTTGTGTTCGCTTCCAATCCCTCAGGGAAGCTCCAGAATTGAAAGAGATTGCATGACCTGCGTGACGTCCTTGTCTCTGGGAACAGAACCTCGAGTTAGAACTGTCAAGCGCGGTTTGTCGCTGTGACCACCCTCGTCACGGGCATGCCCCATGCGCTCGAGTCTGGCATTCTTTTTGATGACGCGCCGTAGCTTGCTCGAGTTCGCATCGGCTCAGCCGCTGTGAGCCGCTGTCAGCCGCTTGGCCGAGGCCGGTGACAGTGGAGCTGCTGAGCGCTCCCGTCGGTGCTGCCAGCACGGCCCCGAGCGTTGCCCCCAGCGCCAGCGGGAGCGCAAGCGCTGCCCCCAGCGCCTCCCCGACGGCGCGGGCAGCAGATGGAGCGGAGCTCGAGGAGAGGCTCGAGGAGAAGCCCTACTTGGGAGGGCGCAGGACCCAGAGCCCAGAGCCTCCGCCTTCTCTGAGACTCTGCTTCTGTCACATCGCAAGGTACTTCCCAACAGCAGAGGATGCAGAGTATTTCGCGAAACTGTCACATGGAGGGCTGCCCCGGTCCTCGCCGAACTTGTTGAGATGGAGGCTTAGCTGCAGCCATAGCCCCGACTGGTCTGATGAAAACCTTGGTGGATTTAGGAAATTTAGGCGATGTAGCAGAAGATGATTGATAGAAGATGGCAAGTGGCTCCCAGGTACGAGCATGTGGCTTCCTTCTCGGAAAGAGAGCGCTCCCTTTGGGCCGGGTGACCGAAAGCAAAGCTGCGGTTTGTCCGATCTCAACGGAGCTCCTTTGGTGGAGCCTGAGCGGTTCCGGGAGCTCAGTGAGCCTTGGAGCTTCGACCAGCACTGGCGCGCCACCGCCAAGTTGCAGGGTGACGATGTGACCATCACCCAGAGGCGTAGGAGCCTTGTGTGCCGCGATCGACGGGGGGGGGGGGGGGGGGGGGG